TAAAACAAAGGATCATCTCCGAAACGCCAAGGATTCCACAACCGAGGTTTTGTAGAAAAATTTCCAGATACCGACGAGGGTATTCTCGCAAACTGAAAAGGATATGCTCGGATAGCCAGAAAGTTTTTAAAGAAAGTTTAGGTTCCAAAATGGTTTCGGATAATATTCTTTCGGGTTCGGACAATACCCTTTCCATTTTCGAACATTTTCCTCAAATATCTGTTAGGTTTCCGACAGTTCGGATACCCTGTCCCGTATTTTAAAATATCCTTTCGGTTTCCAAAGGCACTTACACCTACGCTCTTCTTTTAGAGTGTACCGACACATCTTATACATGTAATATAGAGCTGTAGATACTAACTTTGAGTAGTAGTAGTCGTTGTCAGTGCGAGTGTAGTTAACACTGGATGGTCTGGAATAAATAAACAGTGTAAGATCAGTTCAATTAGACTCACAAAAACATAGGGGCATATCTCTCTCCCTATCTTCCATCGTCAGCACAATGATTACAACATTCGCCATTCGAGTAATTAGCTTATACTATTTTTGAACAAATGAGTTGTATGTTGAATAAATAAAAGAAACGGTGTTATAAGCGAAAAGGTTGCAATCTCAAGTGCATGATCAGAAAGAGAGCACAATTGATGTCATAAGAAAGAAAGGAAGAGAGATAGATCATTAAAACAAAACCTAAATTTGCTTTAAAGAACAGTCACCACCATCACTGCCGGCTTTACGCGATTTCTGAAAGATATTACTTACTATGATTTTTATGGTGCTTTTTACTTGTTGATTGAAGTTTAGTTGATGTTGTTGCAACTGTTTAAAGATCAAAAAGCACACTAACAAACAGTTTCAACATCAGGAGAAAGAGAATCCCATCATTCTCGCCTTTGTACGGTTTTTGGAAGATATTACTTACTTGGACAATGATCACAACATTCAGTGGATAAATTTGCTCGAATTGGTTCAGTGCAATTAAGCGTTGGACATGCCACAGTATTACATGTTTGATTCACTATAAGTAACCAAACAGCGATGCCACACTAAGCCAATCTTGTTCATCAACAGTTGTAACTTACTTCTACATCTGGGACATTGAGATGGTGGAATGGCTGGAAGGGTACCACCGAGACACACTATTCTGGGACATAGTTCTCGAAGAAGTGACTCTACGGAGGATATGCCGACATTATCATGATCGGCATGAAACCTGAGTGAAGGTATGTGTTAAACCCAGTTTCGCATCATGAAAATGTGTTTTGTGTGAAACTGCTTTTTGAACTCACTCCCACACTGGCCACATCTCGGCCTTCCACAGCACACTGGGAAAAACGCCCAAAAGTGTGCTGTGAAAAATTTAAAGCCTGTAAGATCAGTAGATGCAGTTTGATCTCTAATACGGAATGGTGAAACCCGTAAGTCTCTATTCATGACTTATTCAAAAAATAACGGATTGTATTCTATTTTGAAACGGATAATGCACATGGGACTGCTACATATGTAACTGCCCGTATTGTATAAAAACTTCTTGGTTCCACTTCGACTGTCCCTTTGAAAAAAAGTTCAAATCGATAAATATTAATCGACTTTTCTTCCTTCGGACTTCACTATGAAAGTTGTGACTTATAGTTTTTACAGTAGCTAAAATATAAACAACTGAAAAAGGCATATCTGTACTTAAAATCGCGGCCAGGACATCGGTTATCAAAATCAATGGCCTACCTTATAAGTCTTTGACATACTACCCAAGTCGCCAAAACCAAAACTTTTTTTCGTTATTCAAGTGAATAACGCAAAACAGTTTTCAGTTCAGAATGCAAAAACATTAGTGGCGTAACGTGAAAAATGGTTACAAATCCGGAATTCTGCAAAATTTTGCATGTTCTTCTAGAACAAAATTTTGTATTAACTCGGCTAATACAAAATTCTGTAAATACTTTGTTTTAATACAGAATTTTGCAAATATTTTGTTCTAGAAGAATATGCAAAATTTTGCAGAATTCCGGATTTGTAACCATTTTTTGCGTTACGCCACTGATGTTTTTGCACTTTTTTTTGCGTAATCACGCAAGAAAAACCTTACAGTTTCTAGATGGGTATAGTTCCGATTGAATATTGTAGTGCTTTCTTTATTTGTGTTCTGCTTTATGATATGCTTTATTCTGTCAGAATACAAGCCGAAAAATATTCCTTTACAGTATTCTATCACATTTAATGAGCTTAGTTAAAAACTTATACACAGCTGAAGATGACGAATTAGTATGTGGCTTGGCCCTTGACCATTACAGAAATCGAGTGATAATTGGAAAAGCCGGGCAGGATTACGTTTCTTGTGCCAGTATGCCCAACAGCGAACGAATGGGTGATAGAACGGTGTTTCAAAACCTACTGAACGGGCGTTCAAGTCGATTTCGAACTAGCTCCGTGGCCATCTGGAACGGGTCAAAGCGTTCGAACGGGGTTCAAGAACTGGACCCGTTCAACGAACTGTAGGGAATTCAACAACCCGTTCCACATGGTTTATTAACGCCCGTTCACCTACTATTATTCACTGTTACATTTTTCCGTCGATGTCAGAGGAAGTTCAACCACCCGTTCCAACGAGCAGCTTGAACGGGCGTTCGAACGCCCGCTGATACAATAGTTCCTGTTTCTCTTTTGTCTGCCACTTCACAGGGAGTTCAACCACCCATTTCCAAAGAAGTGGTGTGTCTTGAGAAGTTATTCGTTTATTGAAGGAAATATTTTAGACATCACATGATTGTAATAAATTTTAGGAATTTGTTATTAATGTTTATATATGAACAACAACAAAAGTTCTAGGACAAAAAGAAAGATTTTCCGCATAGAATGAGAAGAGCAAAAAATAATATTCAGATCACTTTTTTGGCTTTTTAAGGAAAGAAATTTTACTGTATGAACGTTTTTGATTTAAATAAAAGCCATGCGATTTACACTTTCTATATTCATTGTTAAGGTGTGTCAGATCCATAGTGTGAGTGTGAAATATACGGTAATTATAGCAGTCAGAAAAAAAGAAAACTGGAAACGTAATCTCATTTGGTCTTTCTTTAAATCCAAAATACTCACCCAATAAATTTCTTTTTTACAGCGAAAAAGTGCATGAAATAAGCACATTTCTCTCAATTGTCACCATATCAGTAGAGTGTCTACTACTTGGAAATTGCGTAAAGATTATAAGGCAAATGCTGCAAGCTTCATTTGGTGTTTGTTTAATCAAACAGTTTTCTGTAATACCAGAAATGTAACTAAAAGGAAGGTGTTGTATAATAAAAACTTCACCAAATTTAATTTTTGTCCGATATTTATACATGGTTCGGTAGAGCTCATCATGCTCAGCAAGAATATGTGTGTTTCAACGTTCCGAAAGAATTTTTTGAAAGTGAAACTTTCAAAAAACTTAGATTTTTAAAACTTGAAAAACCAGCCTAATGTTGAAAAACGAGCGCATATCCATATCTCTAACCCTCAAAAACTAAACTGACAGATGTGTGTTTCCGGTTATTTAAATAGCAACTGAGTTTTCTCGAACTTTTCGGCCGAGTATTTTGCTGAAAAATCAGTTGATGTCCAAATAACCGGAAACACACATCAGTCAATCCAGTTTTTGATGGCGATTCCTAACATGCGATTAGTTTGCAAAAAAATGGAAGTTTGATAGCAAACACTGCAAAATAACAGTGCATTTCTTTATTTTTTGCTACCTGGTTCAAAAAAAATATTAATTTTCTCAACAACAAAGCAATATTTTCCAAAACCGATACATAACTTTTTGCATACCGATGTGGTGAGCCTAACGATATAAAAATATTTGCTTCATCTCTGATTTAAAAGTAGTTAATGGCAGGTAGCGAAGAGGGATTTTTTCTATCGACCAAAAACTGAAATTGTCTAGGTTCATATAGTATTTGAATGACGCAAAACTACATTTTTAGATTTAGTCTTTCACGTAGAATAAGCATAAAAAAGTTTCAAAGCTCCCAAAGTGACTAGCTTAGAGATATGCGCTTGTTTATTAACATCAGGCTGTTTTTTCAAGGTTTAAAAATTTCAGTTTTTTGAAAGTTTGACTCTCAAAAAATTCTTTCGGAACCTTGAAACACATATATTCTCGCTCAGCTTGATGAGCTTTACCGAGCCATGTATAAATAACGCACAAAAATTAAATTTACTGAAGTTTTGAATGCCCGACGCTTTGCAGAGTCACTTAAAAAGATACATATTAAGGAAGAAAAACTATTGAGTAGGCTTCATGATTGTATCTTGGATGGAATCGGTCGATTTCGCTGCAAGAGCAACAGTGTTACAGCACATCAGGAAGGAATCAACAGAAAATACTAAAGAAAGAAAAAAGTAAACAAATAAACACGGCAAAGTTCGCCGTTCTTATATTTCTTTTGACTTTTATTCATTGAATTATCTAAAAATTGAAAAATTAAAGAAAAGAAATTACGGATCATCATTCTCATTTTAATCACACTTTAATTTGTGATTGTCAGAGACCCCAACAAATAACGCGAAAGAAATCCAGATACACTGAGACGACGCTTGGCAAACGCTTTTGGCGCCCATTTCACTGTTTCATTCGATGAAAGATATAGAACAAAAGAAAACAAGTCAGTAAGAATCAAATGGAAACGCCAAGACTGAACTCAAGCCTAACTTTTAGTCTTGGCGTACCTGAACCCGCTACAAGACAAGCTGGAGCTAGATGACTTGCAGCCTCAGCCATCTTTTGCTCATTGTTACCGTTACACTGTAACATCGGAGCTTTGACGGGCATTACAGTCTCACCTTCTACAAAACTGTAGAACAACCTCAGAAGAAAGTTCATAGAATTCTAATCAAATTTCACCCTTTTTTACTATTCACAAGAAGTAGAGAATTGGAGAGGGAAAGAGATAAATACTGAATGTATTTGCACGTTCGAAGTATTACAATGTTGAACTGTTACCCAAAACCATATCCAAAAGTTGAATTTACCTTGTAACTTTCCCTAGGTAACTACGTCCTACTAATGGCTCTAGTGTGCCTTTGGGTCATCCTTGCTCCAGTCAGTGCTTCTAACAGAATTTATCCTCTGAGAGTATGCTCTGTTTTTTTTCGCAAAGCGTAGACATTTCAAATCTAAAATGAAAGCACCAACTTAGACATCAGGAATTAGAGGAAAATTAAAAACAGATAAATTCAACTGCTCTGCTGTCTTTTCTGTGTCCTAAACAGCAGAATGACTCACTAGTTAAAAAAGTTTTTCTTATTTCTCTAAAATATAAGAAAACTTCTATTAGAAAACAAAGTGTATATTATGCGCTCTGCTTTTCTGAGAAAAGCGTAAAATAGAGCGTATTTTTAAATTCCGAAGCATATGTACGCTTTGCTGTTAGAAACACTGTCTCCAGTATTAACTAGCAACTTGACACTTTTACACTTTAAGGACACCCTGGCACTATTTTGGTGAACTAGAGTAAACCAAGACTGACGAGGGAACCGCCCTAGGTGCTCAACTCCGATTTCCTTCATTCATACCTCGTTTTATAGAGCACATCGAACTGGTAAAAAACCTAAAAGGATTTTTGCCCATGGCTCTTGAAGTCTCGGTTTTCTGCAAAATCAGTTTTTGAGAAATTCTAAAAAATAATCAAAACTTTTCATAATGAGGCATAATTATAGCCCGCACATTTCTGATTAAAATGAGACGTCTTCCAGCTCTACACGACCTTTCTTTACAAAGTTACAAAATTTACAAGAAAAGCCCTAAATGTTCATTGTCAGCTAAAAGCTGTAGAAATAAGAAGAAATTAATTTAGGACTTTCCTTGTAAATTCTATAACTTTGCAAAGAAAGGTCATATAGAGCTGGAAGACGTCTCATTTTAATCAGAAATGTGCGGGCAGAATCGAGGCTCGAATCCTCGTCAGCGCGTAAATATTTTTCGAATTTTTTTTAAAGGCCCCCGACTTTAATTTTCGGAAGTACCCGGACTAAAAATCATGGACCCATAGGCAGTCGACCACGCTGATTCCGAATATCGCCTTCCCCCGGAGTCTAATCGCGTTTGAAAATTTCGGAGTCCGGTGATATGGTTCTGTTTTTTCACACCTGTTATTAGCAATTTGTGATAAAGCAGTTTCACAGAGCCATGATTTGTAAAAATATTTGCTGTGTTTTTAATGGAAATGATAACTGGTAAAAAAGTGTTGAAAGTCATAGTAGCCAGTCTAATGCACAATCACTTGAGCGCAGATGTATTCACACCAATGATTAAATACGCTTCGTTCTCCAGTGACTTAATACGTGAAGATCCTTCTCCATTTGTCAGCGTTAATCAAGTTTGCTTTGCAAGCTCAGAAACTCATATACAGTGTGAAGAAAAAGACTGCGATGAGTCTGTTTTTATAACTTGTGCTCGATGTTCGAAGAAATTATGTTTTCAACACTTTTTTACCAGTTATCANTCACAAATTGCTAATAACATGTGTGAAAAAAACAGAACAGAAAGAAAAACAGTAGTTTTTCTTTTATAAATTGTGTAAGAATATTAGCGGTTTTTCCCTCTTTTTTTAAGTTTTAGATGCAGAAGACTCGCTCAAAATCTCGCTTAGAACCTTGAAAAATTATTTTCTGTAGGTTGACGACGTGCTCTTTCATTTGAACAGGTAAAGGAAATTTTTTAGTGAAAATGGTTCGACTGAAAAACCAAGATCTTTAAAAAACTGTGTTTAGGCTCAAAAGCGAGGAGGTAATTGGTGGCCTTCCCACGTAAGAACTAGTTTGAAAATGTCTGAGATAGCGCTGAAATTAAAGAAATAGTGTTGGAAAATCTGAAATACTGGCTGCTATTTAAAGAGAAAGTAACGTAAGTAATGTCCTTCCTTAGCTGTCCGGGTCCCTGCGTCTCATAAAGAATGCAAAAATACGATATTCGGTTAAAACATAATTTCTTACCTCTTTGGAATGAAAGCAGGACATTTTTAATGCTTTATCTTCGAAAAATTCAACTTTTCGAATATACGTTCAACATTGTTTTTAAAGTCATACTCATCTCCGATAATCTCTAAAAGCGGACAATCTTTTCGCGCCGAGCCTGGATGCGCATCGATGCGAGTTTTTAACATTCTTTCTGGCATCGGTGCGTAGCATATCAAAATTTGGCGCCTTTTTTCCAAGGGGGTTGTCAGAAAAAAATTTGCGGAATCTTGTAGCCCATGGTCGATTTAGTGGTACGCCATACTTATCTCAAATGGGTCCTTCCGATTTCTGTGGAAAAAAATTTAGGAAAAACGTCAAAAAGATCCGTGCGGGATTCGTATCGGCGACGAAAAAATTCACTTTCTTTGCACTAAACCACTGTGCTACGGATCTATACTGATTCTCTCTTGTTATATCAAGTATAGATGAAGAAAAACAGAATGGGAAAAAATTGTTCATGTTTTTCGAACGTAATTTTTTTTCTAAAAGGTTGCCGAAGAGGATTCAGGGTATTTTTATACAGTACTGTCATGACAGTATTTTATCTTGTTTTCTGGAGAAAAAGAAACCTTTGAATATTATTAGAACATAACCAGAATAAACAGTTCAATAGTGCAGATATCGTGTGCATCTGAAGTGCATTGAATCAGCAAAGACGTTGTTTATTCATCTCACACAAAGAGAAAGAGGTCGATAACATTTACAGTAAAATTATTAATTATCTAATTAACTAGTTTAGATGTAAACAAT